GTTCCAAAATTCAATATAACATTTTTCTACTGATACGGATAATTATTCCATCTTCCCTATATCCATCAATATAGCTTTGCAGTTCTTAAAAAATTATATGATATCTCGTTAAATACCACCCTTATATTTGAATGACATATGTAATGGGATGCATTTAGCCATTTGAATCCCCAAACGTTGACACTAGACAGTGTCTGCTGTTCGAAAAATAAAATTTCACATGCCATTCTTTACAATTGAATATTTGAATTTACTAGGTTAATCTTAAAGTAGTGTCAGAAACGACCATGAATATGAATAAGGGTAACAGGACATAGAAGTTTTATTAAACGTGGTAGTAGAATAGTAACATACTGCTAAATAGGATATTGTTAACATTTTGCTTTATGTTTATCTGCATACAAGTGACATGGTTAAACTCTATTCAAATCAACTTCAATATTATTCAGATAATAAAACGTTATACCAGTGTTATCGATCCAGTAAGTATTTCATCAACGTCAAACGAGAAAACAAACGATCTGATTAATGTACAAAACAGTAAGCGAACAATAAATATGACATACAGCAACAAACGACAACCACTTAATTACAAACTCCTGACTTGGGACAGGTACATACGGTTAAAGACTGACCCTCGCCTACCCTGAGACAGTGGGATAACACCACAATCATAACATAAGAAAAAACTATACAAACTAGTATCTCGACTGTTTGCAAAACAATTGAAAGGTCTTTCCCTTTACGACCTTTCATTTGATATGCGACACTTGATGACCCTATCCACCTAAATGTTTGAGATCGGAAGTACGATACCTGTAATGTAGACTTGATGGCCTTTCATTTGATATGCGACAACACCATCTTCTAGAAAGTTTGATTTTTGCACTTAATAACCCCATCCAACTCATTTTATGGGGACAGGAATTTAATATTCGAAATCTACACATTATGACCTTTCATTTGATATACGACAACCTTACCTTAGAAGACAATTTATTTTTTGCACTCAATGACCCCACCCATCTTATTTTTGGGGGACGTAAATTTTATATCTAAAATGTTCGCTTTATGGAATTTCATTTGATATGCGAAAATACCATCTTACCATCTTAGAAATGTTAATTGTTGTACTTAATGACCCCAACCTCCTCTTTCGGAAGGGAAAGGGGGTTTTAAATTTTCATTTTTGAATAGAGCTCATTTAGATGTTCAATTTCATATGTCACATGACCCTGTTTTTGCAAATTCCAAAAAATGATGCAATACCAATTTAATGAACTTATGAAACTAGTTAATGTAAATATGAAAATTTCAAACTGCTTATTTTTCTTTGTTTTTTATATCATGTTTTTGGTATTTAGTCAAACATATGACCATGTTAAACTCTTCAATTTCTGAAAATTTCCGGGTGCTAGCTGCTGTTGATTAAAAAATTTTGCCTTCCCCCCCTTTCCACAAAATTTCAAACTGCAATATCTCCAAAACGACAACAGATATCTCAAATCTGCTAAGTGAAAAATGTTCTGCAGATGAAGTAAAACAATGTTACAAAAACATTGGACAAAGTTCATTATGGTCACAATCAATAATCAAATATATGATGCAATACCAAACTTGAGAACCGGAGGTCGTAGAGACATTGGACTATCACCATTCAACTCAGGCCCACTTGACCTTTTAAATGTCACAAGGTCAAGTTCATAGTACACTTTGAAGGTCAAAGGTAAAATTTCATCATGACCTTGACATTGACCTCAAACTGAAGGTCTTGAAATACTGATCATTTTTTGCATTTTTATAGTAGGTTGATATCTGTTACCGTTTCAAAGATATACACAAAATACTGTACTTTTAAGATTTATCTCGTCGTAACTTTTGAACCGATAGTCGGACAGTTTTTCGCCTTTGTATAAAATGTAGAGCTCTTCGAGAGGAGCATTTTATGTATGCAGCGATCTCTTATCGTTTTCTTGATATGTAAGCTTGAAATTTCAGCGTAAAAACTTTTTTGCACTCGGTAACCTTTGACCTTAGGTGCAAATGAAAGGTCACATGAACTTAAGATTATTGGTCAATTAAAGTCCAAAGTCTCCACAACTTCCGGTTCTCGAAATATAATGTTTCAAAAATTGTGTATAATATTTCAAGGGAAATACATGTAACTCTTATGAGGGTTGATAACGAAATAATTGTTTTTGTTTATTAACATTCCCATCTGTTCCTGTACATGTTGCCATTTTCAAATCGATTTTATCTGTAATAATTTTTAAAGAAAAATGCAAATAAAAGAAATTGTTTCAAGGAGATGATGAATTTCTACGCAGCCTCATCATGGTAATACTTCATGACTAGATCTACCTATTGTCCAACTAAGGTCATGATATCTTCAACAATAACGAGGGGGCAATGTCGGAAAAAAAAACAATAAAAGGGAGATAACTTCTCAAGGGGATGATGAAATCCTACACAAGGTCATCTGGTAATATTTCATGATGAGGTCTATCGATGGTCCAAATCTGGTCATGATAACTTCAATAGAAACGGGTGGAGGGCATGTAAAAAAAAATGTTAAAAGAAAAAAAAACATAAGAAAAACAATAAGGTCTTTCCTCACGTAGGGGAAAGACCTTAATTATTTGAAAAGGGCTATACACATTGGATCGATAAAAAGCATGAAACGACTTACAAAAACACTAAAGACACAATGTACAGCCTTTATACTATTACCTTGTTGGCACGTCAAGAAGCACAAATACATGGGAGATAGAGAGAAAAAGGAGACTGAACAACAGCTGATATATTAACGAATGATACTACTTTCTGCGCGAGTGATTCATGTTTTCAAAATCATTCATTCAGTTGGACCGTGACCTAACTTATACTTTGAAATATAACAAAACGTCAAAGCTAAAAAGACGTTAACAGAACTTAATAATAAGATGTTTTCTTATTTGTATAAATGACCTCCCAGAATACGTGTCATCATCAAACGTAAGACTCTTTGTATAAGACTGCGTTCTGTACCGTCAAATAAGAAATGAAAGAGATGCAACTATCCTACAAAACGACCTCAACGGATTGCAACAATGGGAAACAGACTGGTAGATGGAGTTCTACCCCAAAAATGTCATCTCCTAAAAGTAACAACAAAGCGGAACACAGTTAAGGTAAACTAATCCATTCCCGGCCATATCCTAGAAGAGGTTGATTCGGCGAAATATCTTGGCGTCACCATACACAAGCCATTCAGTTGAAACAATCATATTCATAACATCGCAAAGTAAGCCTACTCCACCAGAGGTTTTTTTTCAAAGAAACATAAAAACTGTCCTAAGAGAAGCATATTGACTGAGGACGAAGTCCGAGGTCGATATGCTTCTCTGGGTCGATATAACATCGTATTGACCTCAACCAAAGGCTACAATTGTTATATTATTAATCAACAACTATTGCATGAACAATGTAAAATTGGGGATTTTTAGAATCTATTTTAAGTAACATGCTGTATACCCTGTGCAATATGCTGTTTTTGACCTACGAAAAGCTAAACACACAGTATTGGCGTGCAAACTGAGCAAATACAAATGTACATGTGATCAAGTTTTAACGAATCACAAATCCTTAAAAATATTCGATTAATAATATATATACATTTAGTTAAGTACCATGCAGTATATTTTTTAAATCTTTAGAGAAAAGCGCATATCTTCAACTTTTAGAATCGCCAGCCTTTTGTCGTCAAATTGTGTGCAATTTTTTTTTTATCTACAATGTATGGTAAAAAAAACCTGATAAAGATTAAACTCTATGCTCACATCTGAATGTGTCAGATATCTTTTTTAAAGATAGTACTTGTTAATCTTTTGTATGGAGCACATTTTCACTGTAGGTAATTTGCACATACCCGCACATGTGTTGTTTTCACAGCAAACGTGTACATAAAACAGTGCGATAATACTCCCCTGGGAGGACTGTACTCTAAAGGAAGAAGAACGAACGAAATAAGTCTACTGTTATTGATAATAAATGAGGGAATCACAATTACAATAATAATGTTTATAAATGGATAATATTTTAATCTCATCATCAAGACATAGGGGTTACACACTTTCCTTTTAATTGATATTTTGTCATGTCGGGCCTTTAATCGCCAACTTATCCCTCATGCAAAGATTACCTTAGGTTAGAAGGATTTTGCTATAATTTTAAGGTCCTTTTGGGTCATATAGAACTTCACCTGTGTCGGTTCTAATATATCCTTGGCTTTCAAATATTCGGTTTTGAGTATTCCTCATGAAAGTAAATCTAGAAAAGCGCTTCGACTTAGTGTTATTTTAATTTTTATAGCACCAAGTCAATACCGCGCTGCTTGTGGACTATCGGTCTCTGAGGAATATGTATCATCAGTACTTCGGTAATTACATGATTTATAACATTCCTTTCTTAAATTGTCAGTATATCAATTTTAAAAGAAGTTATTAAAAAAAAGATAAGGGTTCAACTCCTTCGGGCAAAATGAAACTTGATTTGGCAGTTATTTTAGCTCCTTCGCCTGTTTCGGTTCTTATACATCCCTTGCTTTCAATTATTCGGCTTTGGGCGTTCCCGATCTAGGTTAATCCAGAAAAACGTTTCAGACACATACAATCTATAAAGGGTTATGTTCATTTTTTACTTTCGGGTATGAATTTCTATCTTTGACGAACGCCATACGGCTTCACTACATCTACTTCATTTGGTCTCTGTTGGATAGTTGGCTCATTGGCAATCATACCATTTCTTATTTTTATAGGATTAACTTTGCTTGCGGGACATGTGCCATTATAATTAGTCGTAAGTACAGTTGAACTGAATTAACTGAGGTTTAACCTTTTATACGTTGTGTAAAAATTTCGAACTTCGTGGCAACTGCCAAAGCACAAACTCCTTGATGACAGTCCAGTCCACCATCGGTGGATGTACATGTTTTACCAGAGTCACGAAAACGTAATACCAAATCTTGCGGTGAACTTTTATAAAGGAAAAACAATATAAATACTAAACACTACAAAAAAACACTCAACAATATACAGTCATTAATAATTTAAACGTTAACAAATAAATATTTTTTACAGATATGTAGCTATTACCAAGAAAGCAAATTCAATGCCAACAAAATCAAAGTATTTGAAATTGAAAAACAAAAAACAAAAAAATAATCATTTGTGTATACAGTTCGATCCTCATAAAGTCACTTATGCGTGAAGAAATGTAAAGCCGGATCAAGAATATGAAAGAGTCGGTTGGCAATTTTATGGATTGACCTGAGTAAAGAGGGTTCGTAAAACTCGTTGTTTTCTGCAAAGCATTCAGCGCATCTCCTATCGCATTCACAAAGATGGCGTCTGCAAAAATCTTCTGGTGCGTCACCTGCAAATAAATCAAATGGAATAAATTAGATTTTATAGACACGTTTATCCTAACCTAGGAGAAGAAAGAAATTCTGAGGAGTAAAACAATAAAATGTTACATTTTCCAGAAAAAAAAAACCAAGTCATGTAATTCTTACGACAAAATATAATACTTTCCTACCAAAATTACTTTCTTCGCATACTTGATGTTGGGTGTGTTTAACGACCTTGACTGGCTTTAAAGCCCTCGCATGGTCGGGATTTCGCATACTGATCCATACTTGAAGTATATCACATGAAGGTATATTTGACAATTTAGTTCTATTACAGACGATGATCACACACAGGCGATGTTATTGATAACTCTCGACATCATAAAGGTATATTATTTTCTTATATGTCGTAAAAATAATTCATTTTACCATGGAACTGTATATTTTACTTTCTCACTGTATATGTAAACAAAAATGTCGTACAATCTACTATACAGATAAACACATGAGATTACTACTAGAAATACGTAATAAAATATCTTTAAACCCGTTTTTATTCACTCCTGATTTAATCATCTAACTATGATAATCCTTCTAATTTAATTATATTTCCATGATTTTTTATATATTGATTTGTTTAACGTCCAATGGCAAATATTTCATGCATGAACAGGACGACACGATTTTTGAAGCGAACATTTTTATTTTGATTGAAGTGTCCGTTCGTCCTGACATCACACTTTTGTATCCTCTACGGCTCCTGTTTTTGTTAAACAGTGTCCGTTCGTCCTGACATCACACTTTTGTATCCTCTACGGCTCCTGTTTTTGTTAAACAGTGTCCGTTCGTCCTGACATCACACTTTTGTATCCTCTACGGCTCCTGTTTTTGTTAAACTTTCACAAGATCTGAGATTACTATAATACATGTTATAGTTATCTCATACAAGTTAAAGTAATCTCATACGAGAGGGGTTTACTTTTGCATGACCAGGAATTGTCTTAAAGCCATAATCAGTATGTTATGAAACTTTTTAGGGGAGGCAGTGTCCCTTAACAAATCGTGGACTTGTCCATTGCAATTGCAAAACAATTCAAACGAGAAGAGTTATGAACAAAACAACAAAGGGAAAACAAATATGATATACAGCAATAGAGACTACCACTGAATTACAGGCTCCTGACTTGGGACAGGCACATACAGAATGTGGCTCGGTCAAGTCTGACTTGGGACAGGCACATAAAGAATGTGGCTCGGTCAAGTCTGACTTGGGACAGGCACATAAAGAATGTGGCTCGGTCAAGTCTGACTTGGGACAGGCACATACAGAATGTGGCTCGGTCAAGTCTGACTTGGGACAGGCACATACAGAATGTGGCTCGGTCGAGTCTGACTTGGGACAGGCACATACAGAATGTGGCTCGGTCGAGTCTGACTTGGGACAGGCACATACAGAATGTGGCTCGGTCGAGTCTGACTTGGGACAGGCACATACAGAATGTGGCTCGGTCGAGTCTGACTTGGGACAGGCACATAAAGAATGTGGCTCGGTCGAGTCTGACTTGGGACAGGCACATACAGAATGTGGCTCGGTCGAGTCTGACTTGGGACAGGCACATACAGAATGTGGCTCGGTCGAGTCTGACTTGGGACAGGCACATACAGAATGTGGCTCGGTCGAGTCTGACTTGGGACAGGCACATACAGAATGTGGCTCGGTCAAGTCTGACTTGGGACAGGCACATACAGAATGTGGCTCGGTCGAGTCTGACTTGGGACAGGCACATACAGAATGTGGCTCGGTCGAGTCTGACTTGGGACAGGCACATACAGAATGTGGCTCGGTCGAGTCTGACTTGGGACAGGCACATACAGAATGTGGCTCGGTCGAGTCTGACTTGGGACAGGCACATACAGAGTCTGACTTGGGACAGGCACATACAGAATGTGGCTCGGTCGAGTCTGACTTGGGACAGGCACATACAGAATGTGGCTCGGTCGAGTCTGACTTGGGACAGGCACATAAAGAATGTGGCTCGGTCGAGTCTGACTTGGGACAGGCACATATAGAATGTGGCTCGGTCGAGTCTGACTTGGGACAGGCACATACAGAATGTGGCTCGGTCGAGTCTGACTTGGGACAGGCACATACAGAACGTGGCTCGGTCGAGTCTGACTTGGGACAGGCACATACAGAACGTGGCTCGGTCAAGTCTGACTTGGGACAGGCACATACAGAACGTGGCTCGGTCGAGTCTGACTTGGGACAGGCACATACAGAACGTGGCTCGGTCGAGTCTGACTTGGGACAGGCACATACAGAACGTGGCTCGGTCGAGTCTGACTTGAGACAGGCACATACAGAACGTGGCTCGGTCAAGTCTGACTTGGGACAGGCACATACAGAACGTGGCTCGGTCAAGTCTGACTTGGGACAGGCACATACAGAACGTGGCTCGGTCAAGTATGACTTGGGACAGGCACATACAGAACGTGGCTCGGTCAAGTCTGACTTGGGACAGGCACATACAGAACGTGGCTCGGTCAAGTCTGACTTGGGACAGGCACATACAGAACGTGGCTCGGTCAAGTCTGACTTGGGACAGGCACATACAGAACGTGGCTCGGTCAAGTCTGACTTGGGACAGGCACATACAGAACGTGGCTCGGTCAAGTCTGACTTGGGACAGGCACATACAGAACGTGGCTCGGTCAAGTCTGACTTGGGACAGGCACATACAGAACGTGGCTCGGTCAAGTCTGACTTGGGACAGGCACATACAGAACGTGGCTCGGTCAAGTCTGACTTGGGACAGGCACATACAGAACGTGGCTCGGTCAAGTCTGACTTGGGACAGGCACATACAGAACGTGGCTCGGTCAAGTCTGACTTGGGACAGGCACATACAGAATGTGGCTCGGTCAAGTCTGACTTGGGACAGGCACATACAGAATGTGGCTCGGTCAAGTCTGACTTGGGACAGGCACATAAAGAATGTGGATAGGTCAAGTCTGACTTGGGACAGGCACATACAGAATGTGGCTCGGTCAAGTCTGACTTGGGACAGGCACATAAAGAATGTGGCTCGGTCAAGCCTTTTTCAAGGAGATGTGAATTAATAAACTGATAAATGCAGAAGGTCAGTTTTGTTTTTGTATGGGAAACCGGCCCCAAAAATCACTCAGATCAAAACTTAAATTAGAAGGTGTACAACTACATGCTCTGAAGAAGAAATTATGCAAGTTGATTGAAGTCTGTCAAGCTCTTTAACAAGGAATTGTGGATTTATAAAGAGTTGCGAGGATCACGGCGACAACGCAAGTGACCCCGATGTACCTCTGCAGATTCGCTGTTAGACGACATAATAAATTTGGCCACAGTGAACCCATGTCTTGATGTACAATTAAATTACTATATGTTTCTTCAGCAACTTTTCTTTAGCTATCAAACTAAAAAAACATGTTGGCTTATACTAGTTATCTAATGAGAGTTGTAAAAGGGTATGAGTACGGAAGAACTGACAAATGTTCTCTATCTATTTGCACACACGACGACGTTGTACGAAAATACCATGATTTGTCCTCTGAAAACGATGAGAAATGATTTTCGAATTACTAAATCTTACTACAAGTTATTCCCATGTCGCTGAGAAACCACGAATATTTCGGCAAATATATACCACAGTGTGCTACTTTCTGGTCACCGTAACAGTCGTCATGTTGTGCGCAGCATCTGAAAAAAAAAAACACCAAAATGGTACAAATAACTATCTAAAGTAAATCATGACAAACTTCCTGGTGTATAATTAAAGTTCCTGCAGGTCAGATTGAGAACACAGCGTTCATCTTAAATGGTCCTCTTTTGCCATTTTCATCTTCAATTCCTTCTTCATTTATTGTAATTTTTGTCTAATGGGTTAACTTTTGGGACCCACTTTTTGAAGCCGAATATGTTTTGAAAATCTAAATTTAATCATGTTTTTTAAACATCTGGAACAGAATTAAAAGTACAAAATGTAACACTGAAAATGCGTATAGTTACTGATTATTAGTCATTTGACTTGTACTTTTCTAAATAAAAAAAATTCATGAACAGGCACAAAAAGTACAACAGGATCTGAAATAACTCATTACACAACACACAGAAGTCTACTCTAAATCTGCGAGGAAGAATGATAACGGGGCATGGACAAAAGCCCTTGCATTTCATTTAGGTAATGTAAAAGTTCGATGAAATCCTTAAAATAGTTTTCATTCGACTGTCATGAAATTTCTCAATCGCCAGAAGACCTTAGATATTATAGCACGATATTTGTTCATATATGTTGAAAGTTCTGACCTAGCAAATTCGATTGAATAAAAAGTTACTCATTCTGTAAGATTTCAAAGACTATGAAAAAAAAACTTACGAGTCAATAGGGTCTAAAACTACGCCACGACCACCCACGCCACAGTAATGTCCATATCCATAAAAGTCCGATGGGTCTCTGCCAGTGACTGCACCTACCATATCACCAAATTCGACAACATTTCGCTTTACTCTGCCACCATATATGACACCTAAAAAACAAATATTTGTTTATAATATAGTATCATATGTTTGTTAATGCTGTACGTCATTGTCTATCATTTCATGCAGGTGACAATTTTCGTTCAAACCCGGAAAATAATTAACAATCAACTTTCTTATTTAGAATAGACTATTCACTCAATATATGAGGGTCTGGATGGGGTCCTTCAATTGTGAATTCTTTAATTTTTTACGCCATTATTCTCTACTCTTTATACTTTCACACCCCATTATTCTCTATTCTTTACTTTTTGGCCTATTTTTCTCTGCTCTTTATTTTTTTTGGACTTTTATTCTCTATTCGGAAAACCCCACCCAGACCCTCATATATTGTGATCTATACTTTTCCCTTTTGTATGTAGAACTGAAAAGTAAAACTTATTCCGTTTGATGATATTTAAATGCTTTTTGTTAAAATATACTTTTTCACTTTTTTGGTCTTTTGGAAACTGTTTTTTTTTTTTGTGCTGTATTAAGACCCCTCTACCAAGAAATTTGTTTTGCATGCACATGTATAAAATTTGCGGATTTTATCCAATGCAATCATAGGGTTGAACGTTGTTTTCAATTTAGACTTATTTATATTTTTTCGTTTGGGCTTGTATTATATTTGCCTTCGGGTTTATATAATCCGTTCATCCTATTTCGACTCTTCAAAATTCAAGAGTCAATCCTAAATTGAGGTAAATTATATGGCCTTCCAAATACCGTGTCGATTCCTAACATCACTGAAGAGAAATTAATTGTCGAAATCCGGATATGGTGTACCAATTTTTGCACCTTATGTTTGCGGTATACCATCTTTTCCGCAAGTTTATTGTTTTTTGTTTGGTATTAAATTAATAATTAAGATCCATTGTGTTACATCTGGTGATCCGTATATTTGGCAATCGCCATGGCAGTCTGCAGGGTTTAAGAACATCTGTTGTTCGACCTGCTAGTCAAATTCGTTTTGTTAAAACATACTTTTTCACTTATTTGGTCTTTTGGAAAATGTTGTTTGTGCTGTATTAAGACCCTTCTACCAAGAAATTTGTTTTGCATGCACACGTATAAAAATTGCGGTTTTTATCCAACGCAATCATAGGTGTGAACGTTGTTTTCAATTTAGACTTGTTTATATTTTTTCGTTTGGGCTTGTATTATATTTGCCTTCGGGTTTATATGATCCGTTCATCCTATTTTGACTCTTTCAAAATTCAAAAGTCTATCCTAAATTGAGGTAAATTATATGGCCTTCCAAATACCGTTTCGATTCCTAACATCACTGAAGAGACATTAATTGTCGAAATCCGGATATGGTGTACAAATATATATATACAAGTCTAAATTGAAAACAACGTTCAAACCTATATACAAGTCTAAATTGAAAACAACGTTCAAACCTATGATTGCCGCGTTGGATAAAAACCGCAATTTTTATGCGTGTGCATGCAAAACAAATTTCTTGGTAGAAGGGTCTAAATACAGCACAAACAACATTTTCCAAAAGACCAAATGAGTGAAAAAGGATATTTTAACAAAACGCATTTGACTAGCAGGTCGAACAACTGATGTTCTTAAACCCTGCTGACTGCCATTGGCGATTGCCAAATAAACGGATCACAAGATGTAACAAAACAGATCTTATTATTAAATTATTACCAAACAGAAAACAATAAACTTGCGGAAAAGATGGTATACCGCAAACATGAGGTGCAAAAATTTGTACACCATATCCGGATTTCGACAATAAATGTCTCTTCAGTGATGTTAGGAATCGAAACGGTATTTGGAAGGATATATAATTTACCTCAATTTAGGACAGACTCTTAAATTTTGAAAGAGTCAAATAGGATGAACGGATCATATAAACCCGAAAGCAAATATAATACAAGCCCAAACGAAAAAATATAAACAAGTCTAAATTGAAAACAACGTTCAAACCAATGATTGCGTTGGATAAAAACCGCAATTTTTATACGTGTGCATGCAAAACAAATTTCTTGGTAGAAGGGTCTAAATACAGCACAAACAACATTTTCCAAAAGACCAAATGAGTGAAAAAGTATATTTTAACAAAACGCATTTGACTAGCAGGTCGAACAACTGACGTTCTTAAACCCTGCTGACTGCCATTAGCGATTGCCAAATAAACGGATCACAAGATGTAACAAAACAGATCTTATTATTAAATTATTACAAACAGAAAACAATAAACTTGCGGAAAAGATGGTATACCGCAAACATGAGGTACAAAAAATTTGTACACCATATCCGGATTTCGACAATTAATGTCTCTTCAGTGATGTTAGGAATCGAAACGGTATTTGGAAGGCCATATAATTTACCTCAATTTAGGATAGACTTTTGAATTTTGAAAGAGTCAAAATAGGATGAACGGATCATATAAACCCGAAGGCAAATATAATACAAGCCCAAACGAAAAAATATAAACAAGTCTAAATTGAAAACAACGTTCAAACCTATGATTGCGTTGGATAAAAACCGCAATTTTTATACTTGTGCATTCAAAACAAATTTCTTGGTAGAAGGGTCTAAATACAGCACAAACAACATTTTCCAAAAGACCAAATGAGTGAAAAAGTATATTTTAACAAAACGCATTTGACTAGCAGGTCGAACAACTGACGTTCTTAAACCCTGCTGACTGCCATTGGCGATTGCCAAATAAACGGATCACAAGATGTAACAAAACAGATCTTATTATTAAATTATTACCAAACAGAAAACAATAAACTTGCGGAAAAGATGGTATACCGCAAACATGAGGTGCAAAAATTTGTACACCATATCCGGATTTCGACAATTAATGTCTCTTCAGTGATGTTAGGAATCGAAACGGTATTTGGAAGGCCATATAATTTACCTCAATTTAGGATAGACTCTTGAATTTTGAAAGAGTCAAAATAGGATGAACGGATCATATAAACCCGAAGGCAAATATAGTACAAGCCCAAACGAAAAAATATAAACAAGTCTAAATTGAAAACAACGTTCAAACCTATGATTGCGTTGGATAAAAACCGTAATTTTTATACGTGTGCATGCAAAACAAATTTCTTGGTAGAAGGGTCTAAATACAGCACAAACAACATTTTCCAAAAGACCAAATGAGTAAAAAAGTATATTTTAACAAAACGCATTTGACTAGCAGGTCGAACAACTGGTGTTCTTAAACCCTGCTGACTGCCATTGGCAATTGCCAAATAAACGGATCACAAGATGTAACAAAACAGATCTTATTATTAAATTATTACCAAACAGAAAACAATAAACTTGCGGAAAAGATGGTATACCGCAAACATGAGGTGCAAAAATTTGTACACTATATCCGGATTTCGACAATTAATGTCTCTTCAGTGATGTTAGGAATCGAAACGGTATTTGGAAGGCCATATAATTTACCTCAATTTAGGACAGACTCTTGAATTTTGAAACAGTCAAATAGGATGAACGGATCATATAAACCCGAAGGCAAATATAATACAAGCCCAAACGAAAAAATATAAACAAGTCTAAATTGAAAACAACGTTCAAACCTATGATTGCGTTGGATAAAAACCGCAATTTTTATACGTGTGCATATATATATATAACTATATCTCGTCTAAACATCAGCCGAACAATGTTAGATCTGTAAATTTGTTTCGCAAATTTTTTGTTCTTCTCTCGCCGGGATTCGAACTCATGCTACTGAGATATCGTGACACCAAATCGCCTGCACTGTATCCGACGCGCTAGACCACATGACCACCTAGGCTTCACAATAATAATGCTTTCGGTGGCCGGGTATTACCTTTGCTCGTCAGTGTTAATCTAGCGTCGTAATACAGTACATGATATATAAGACATGAAGATGGAATTGTTACAGATCAGCTGAAATATCTATTGTAAAGGATCCTACAAATTACTGCAAGATACAGTCACAGAAATAATTATATTTATAAGTACGTCTGAACCAGTGACAACTCTACAACAGATTTATCCATCGGATCACCAGCAGTGATGGTGATACATGGTTGTGTACATTCTGTACATACAACTAGTCTAAACATCAGCCCAATAATGTAAGATCTGTAAATTTGCTTTCGCAAATTTTTTGTTCTTCCCTCGCCGGGATTCGAACTCATGCTACTGAGATATCGTGACACCAAATCGCCTGCACTGTATCCGACGCGCTAGACCACACGACCACCTAGGTTTCACAATAATAAAGCTTTCGGTGGCCGGGTGTTACCTTTCCTCGTCAGTTTTAATCTAACGTCGTAATACAGTACATGATATATAAGGCATGAAGATGGAATTGTTACAGATCAGCTGAAATATCTATTGTAAAGGATCCTACAAATTAATGCAAGATATACAGTTTCGCATTATGTGCAGCACACGTTGATGGGTTGGTGCAGACAGGTGAGCAAACATTTTTGTTTTTCACCTCATAATCGGCAATTTATTAGTTACTTTTCTTTCAAAGATATTTATATAAAAATAAGGAGATGTGGTATGATTGCCAATGAGACAACTATCCACTAAAATTCAAATGAAGTGGATGTAAGCAATTATAGGCAACCATACGGCCTTCAACAATGAGAAAAACCCATACCATATAGTCGGCTATAAAAGGCCCCGACATGAAAAATTTGGAACAATTCAATTGAGAAAACTAACGGCCTAATTTATAACAAAACAATTTACGAAAAACAAATATGACCGAAATGAACCAACGATAACCACTGAACTACAGGCTCCTGACTTGGGACAGGCACATAAAGAATGTTGCGGGGTTAAACATGTTTGTGAGCGCTCAACCCTCCCCTAACCTGGGACAGTGGTGTAACAGCACAACATAAGAACAAACTATAAAAATCAGTTGAAAAAGGCTTAACTCATCAGATCGATACAAAGAAAAACATTAAACAAAATCAGACAGGACGTGGCAGGGTATATACCCATCTCTCATCCCTAAAAACAAAAAGACACTATAAGA